CAAAAAGGTGCTTGCAAGCAGAACAGGTTCTTAAGAAATGTGGTCACATAAACCCTACGCCTCTCCCAACTTAAGTGGCAATGGGACTTCCATTTCATGTCTCTCTTCCAGTAACATAATTTTTTTCTGGAAGGCACAGTCTGATGGCAAAGTAACTGAGAAAAAGGTGTGCGTGGAGCAACTTCGCGTCCTACAATACCGCCTTTACCTAACAACTTTCCGCTGGTATATAGTTGTACAGTGTGGACACCACCTTTACCACTCAATTTCTATGGTAAAATCCACATAATTTGTTTATCAAACTAAATAGTATAGAATAAATAGCTACCTGGTGAGGAGTATCATGTTACTTCATTAAACGAACTTTTCTGGTTCACTGGCCATGAGGACTATTTTTGCAATTGAATAGGGCTATACGTAGAAGGCCATAATGCAGTTCGACGACGGGGGGGGGGGTGTGCTGGGGGCATTTTGCACTTCCGCTGCTTCATTAGTTCCGTTTACGTCTCGCTCCGGTAAAACCTGTGAACTCTTGTGAAGCTGTGGGCTCCTCGAGTCACCATGATAAAACATGTCAACTCTTGTAAACTCATGAAATAGTTCTCCAGATGGCTTGGCAAAGTAGTGAAAGTGCAAAATGCCCCCGTCGCCGAACTGCCCTCTATTTCTTCCGATTCCGTTCATGGAGTGGTCGATGCCTTGCAGTACCGTTCCAGGAGTAACATGTGTATTGAACTGTGGGGCGGCGTGCGCAGTGTGAGTGTGTACAGACTATTTATTGTAGGCGTTCACTTGTAGAATATTCCTGTCAGTTCGGTTTAGTGGGGGCATTCTGCAGGTTGCCATCTGACTCCTGAGGGAACCTATGGAATCCGACCTGGAGAAGTAAGCTGTGTAGTAGCAGGGGTTTCATTAACTTTACGAGAGTCTACTGGTCACGCCAAGGAGAGACGTGTAACTCAACAGAAACTAACAAAAGAAACTAGCAAAAGTGCAGAATGTCCATCCTAGGCCGCACACCCAAGATACCTCTGTGTGCGTGTGTTTTCCTCTTACTTCTATCAATACTGTGTGTGGTCGTTCTTGATCTTGAACCAACAGTGGTGGACGTTTTCCGTTTAGCAAAACGAAGCGTCGGCTACTAGTTGAATGTGACCTTCTTCCATACTATTCCAGCTGCCAACACTTCGTTCAATCCACCGGAACCACCAAAGGATCACTGGGGTTTGAACACTCCACTACCAGTGTTCTCCACCAAATCATTGTGCAGTTTTCTGACTGTTTGTAGAATGGTGGGGGGGGGGGGGGGCGGGTGAGAGCAGAGGAGCTCTTACCGTTAAGTCATCGTTTTTAGGGAAAATAAACAGGCCAACAGTTCGTATTGGCAAAGTAGAAGTATGTTGGTGGCTGATGGAAAACTGAAGCCGGATTTTGCTAAGTACTACATTTCTAAGGATCAGTTCTTGGCCGATACTGAACGCCTCACGCAGATGATTGTCGATGGACCATTGTAGGTTTTGAGAACGCTTTTGGATTTCAGGCTTGATCGATCCAGGGCACGACATAGCTGAGACCTCCAAAGCGAGGGCATATTATGTCTATTTTCAAAAAAATTCTTGATTGCGATTTTCTTCCTTTTTTTCGCTTGTCGTGCTCGTGTATCGCAAGTTTTTTCGCGCTACGATGGCGTTTTGGGGCTCCTCAGCGTCCTTGTCCTATTCGTTGGCCTCCATGCACCATTTCTTGACCCGTTCTTTCACTACCCATACGGCCACTCAGATCCCCAGCCTGAGATGGTCTCACCCTCCTGAACGATCTTATGGCCTCGTCTCGGTCGGACCGGAAAGTCAATCCTTGTCATAAGTCTCAAGCATCTTGCGGTACGCAGCGATGTCATTATTGTCTATACTGCCCCACTTCCTCCGTGTCTAATCCATACAAACTAATTCGATCGTGGTCCTGCTCCGACAAAGAGGACGCCGCAGGTCAAATTGAGGTCTTTCTGCTAACCCGCCCCTGGCCATAACCAAGGCCGTTGGCTCTATTAACGAATGTTTGCTCTTCCCGTCCATCATCGCGAGCCCGGCTCCTTTCGAGGCTTTTTTCCTTGGCATATCGCATAGTAGAGCTAATTCTGCGTCGCAACTCTCGATACTCCTCGTAAAAGCAGCCCCTTGCACGTCTTCAATCCCCGTGCACCTAACTTCACAACACGCGGCTAGCTCTCGCATACTGACCAAAGAACCGGGCGAGAGTTCTGCGCGCCACTTCGGGGCGACCCTTAGCACTGATACTTTTGCAACTTTCAGACATGACTGCTATTAAGACGGGGTTCTCCATATGCCGGCCTGTCAGCCTGGCCCGACGCTGGTATCCACCATTTTTGCAGCCATGGTTTGTGCCTCGGAAGGGATCGAACTCGTGGCTCACAGCGTAAACATGGGACTCCATTTAAACGCTAGGCCATTCCTGCCCAACGATAGCCCGAAAAATCTTTACCTTATCTAAGAAGCATATATCTGGACAGAAACGCCGACTGTAGACGCTAGACTTGGGCCTCTTTTCTTACACCGGAAATCTTCTGCATCCGACGTCTTGTCTATCTGCAGAACAAGTTCCAACTGCAGTCTCGTACTCTTGAATGAAAATTCGCGAACTTCATGGAAGAGGCAAAAGCCGTCTCTCATCGGATTCTATAACATCAGAAAGGTGATTCCTTCACAGCTTGAGCTCATTATAAATCGATCCATGTATTTCAGGTCGATACTCACATTCACGCTGCATCGTCGATGAACCAAAAGCATTTGCTACGATTCATCAAAAAGAAGATCCGAACCGAAGCCGATACTGTGGTACTGGAGAAGGTCCTGAACCCAACCTCTTCAAATCCAGAAGTTTGAACTTTCTTCACTCATTCAATAACTATGAGTAACTTTCAAAACCCCGAAATACAAAAGAAAGAACTGAATCACAAACGAACTCATAGGAAACAGGACAAGGGGGGGGTTTGAAGATGAAATTCGCTGCGTAACCGCATGGGCGGAAATAGTAAAGAAACTCACCGCGCATTTGCCTCTTATTGTGCTTATTTGTAAAGGGCCACCATTTGCATGTGACTGTTTCTTCCATTTTTTGGCCCTTCGTATGGACAAACCTGGAAGACCGTTCTTACTGGCGAGGGTGGGGCGATGGGGGGGCGGGGGGTGGATGGGCGTCCAGCGACAGCTGGCGTACTGCTGTGGCCGACTCTCTCCTGCGGTACAGGTACAGTCTAGTGTTAGTTCGCCTGCGGATGGGGCGTATCAGGGGGGGGGAGGGGTGGCCGTTGCATTGGCGCTGCACTAGTTCTCCAACCAATCGTTGAGGCGGGGAAAGCGACAACAATATATGGGACTATGGACTGGCGCAGTCCCAAGCGAACAACACTCTACGCGTCTGCCTCTCTTTCGTCTGAACTCTGCCTCGCTCTGTCTTCGCAGCTACGGACCCCTTCCTCTCGCCCCCTTCCGAGCCGTTATCAGGCTGTGATGAGACGGTCAAGACAATCGTAAAGTAGCCGTGGTGTTGCACGTGGCGCACCGTACCTGGTGGCTCGGGGAATTATTTGTGTCTATTGGCAATCAAAATCTCCTCCCGGCAAGCGGAGGCAAGAAACTTCATGTGCACCTCGATATCGAACCCGTTCCATCAGCATTCAAAGTCGAGCGCTTGGCCAAAAAACTCGTTAATGGCGTGCGCAGGCATCGTTTCACTTTAATGACGGATGCCAAGTGAGGAAGGCGAAGTGCTTACGACTTCAGCCATATCCCCGCCCATGCAGTAATACGGAAAACTCCCAGTTTCGTCCACTATTTTTTGACGTTTCCGTTTCAACTTTTTCAACTCAGCGGATTGTCCCATTTATGCGCATAGCCTAACATCTACAATGGGAATTTCAGAACAACAAGCCGGTCACCATGAAGGAGGTGTTCAAAAAGATGGGAATCGATGCTTACGATCTATCTGTTGACATCTGACGTGCATGCGGAGCGTCTGAGGATGAGTGGAGTAACACATTCCAATCGCTTTGACAATTCAACACGAAGTATGGTCTCTTAATACATTGTTGTGCTATCTCTCCAGTAAACATATGCTCTCAGTAGTAAATAATTAAATGATTGGGCGCCAATTCGGATGGGGAGCGGATGGGGGGGGGGGCACTTTGCACTTTCGGTGCTTCCCGTTGTCGTGTTCATTGCTTTACAAGGACTGGCAGGTATCTTTACAAGAGTTCACAGTAGTTTTTAGAGGGTTTGACTGCTATCACTTCATGACTTGAGAAGCAGCGAAGTGCACAAAGGCTTCCCCTACCTAGCCGAACTGCGCCCATGATTGTAATGGATGTATGTGTAGTCCATAATTTGGCCAAGTGGTCGCAGCGAGGGAATGTTACAGACCTGGTTGCGAGCGCGTAGCTGTGGACAATTGTCTGATATGGCAGAAACGGTATATCTACCCATGGGGACGTTAGGAAAAGGGAGGGTTACCTTCGGTCTGCAGAATTTTCCTTTCCTGTTGCAGGCCTGCTATACTGCTCTGCTATGAATACCGCGGCTGAGATTGGCTGTTTGTTTCACATCGCCTGGTTCTTCGCCCCGTTACCCCCCCCCCTTCCCCACGAAGGAAATTCAAGTGTTTGCGGTGTGAAGTTGTGGAGTGGGATGTAACTGAAGTCATCTTCTTTGAGTCCAACCCTTATTTCCGCCGCATCAGCCTTTGGTGCGAACGTAGCCGGGGGAGGGAGGGGGGGGATCCGGGCCGCGCTTCTCTATCTCCTCCTCAGGAAAGGCTCAGAGTCAGAGCTCAGACGACCACTCCCCGAGGGATAGTCCCACAGCGAATAGTCTCCACTAACCATAAATTCATGCCTTCATTAGAGGAAGGGATACGTAGGCGCTGGCGACTGGATTCTTCCTCCATCTTATATAGCGTCCAGCTTTTTTCCAGATCCATCCACTCTTCCATTTCCTTTCTCGCCCGCCCGCTTCATCGCTGCACTGCTTGTTCCGCCGCCTTATCGCAACGGCTTTCAGGCTTATGCTTTCTCTTTCTTTTATTTTAGATTAGAGCGGTGCCCTTCTCTTAATAAGATCCTTACAGGTACAATCCAGTAGGCGAGTCGACATTGCGTGAGATTTTCATCAAAACCGATAATTATGTCGGCGGAAAGTATTTCGCTGAGGTGCTCATGGTAAGTGTTCCACCGTAATCCTAAGGTTTGATTATCAGCAGTACCAAAGTGCTTTCAGGAGGTTCTTTCGGATCTAGAAGATTCAAAGTATCAGCATGCAGAACCACGTCTTTCCATTTATGGACGAAGCAAGGTTCCTTTTCTCGTTGTTTTCACTTCGGTTTTTAACTTGGAAGGGACCTTTGCACTTTCTTTGGTTCCTTATTTGTAGTTTATGTTAACCAACAGGGTCTCACGCTTACCGGGCGCCAAAGCCTCTTTTACCCTCCACCAACAGCTCAGGGGTTTTGTGCCATAGAGCATCTTCAAATACCAGCACATTACGAAAACCACATTTGAGAAAACCAAAACGACGCGACCTTTTTACACAACCTGCTAAACGCCGAATTGTCAGAAGTTATCGTCGTTGGACGTAAAT